AGGATAAGATTAGTTGACAATAAAATAAAGAGGAATACATCTTTATGGTAAGAAAACTTGAAATGCCAACACTAGTGTGAGAAATGTGAGCTCCGAAAATTCAAAACCCCTGAATCTCATCGTTGGTTTTGAAAGCTTTATCGAACCCAATTTTCAGAAGATAGATTGGATTACAGATAAACATTGTCCAACTATTTTTCCCTCATTTTGAGATGATTTTTTTATATAAGATTCAAGGTTATCCATCGCAAGCCCCTATGGTTAAATACCCCTCTCGATAATGAAATAGCACTTTAGATCAAAGGTAGTCATTAAGAATTGATTTTGTTTAATGTATTAAGAATTAAATATTTAACATATAGTAGGAGCAGACAGATTATAAAATTTATCTCATTGAGCTTAAAGCAGATGGTGAGAGAAATGATGAAGAACCCTATCAAGATCTCATGGTTCTATTGTCTCGAGTGGTCGTAGTTTGTGATCCACTTAGTCAGATGAGGTAGTTGATCCAAACCTGACTAAAGGATAATTATTAATAATCATGAGTTACATCATCCAAGAGACTTCTAAATTCAGGGTGAAAGTTTATCTAAGAGGACAAATTTAGATCGACCATAACTAACAAAAAAGTTTTATATAAATCAACTGTATCAACTAGTTCACAACTCAAAGGACTGAAAGCCATGCAATTTGGTGGCAAACCACCTAGTTATAGGGCTCTGATCGTAACCGCTACTTTTTTTGGAGTCGTTGGACCAAACCACGTGGACAGATAACTCGGGTCACGTCCTTACTAATGTCGGGTTATTTTGAGTGTGAATATAATGATGCATTCGATGTGACATTTACTCTTTGTGAGCTAAAGTTCAGTAAGAGTTTGTCACCATCAACAAACTGTTGAGGAGGATGAACGAAATTTACTTTAAATTTTAAGTATTGATTTTAACTTGAATATTTTGATTTGTTTGCTTCAAAATTTTAGAAATTTGATTTTAACTTGAATGTCTTTATTTGTTATTTTGAAATTTTGATTTAAAAAATGATTCCAACTGAGATTTTTAGTCAATATAGTATCATTGAGGATTTGATTGCTTGATTTGAACCATGTAGACATCACATTTAGTTTATGAAGAATTTGATTTAATAGTAACATATGATTGAACATGAACATTGTCAACTCTATCTTGCTTACAAATTATCGGGTTCATAGATTATATCATTTGTGTTAATACAAATATGCTTTAAAACTTAAGTTTGAAAATAGACCCATCTAGTTGAAATCTTCTATTTGCTTGGTCATCAATGAAGATTTGGTCATTCGATTTAAATCTTGTCAAATTTGTCCGCTTAACGAGAATAAGATTCAGAAGTGACATGTGTTTAAATCCAAGATAATTGAGTTGAGGAAATTTTCTTTCTGATTTCTCTCTCAGAGTGTTGTACCCTTGAATTTCTCTTAGGTGGTGTACATATAACCAATTAGATTGGCGTAGTGATCTCTTTCGAAAGTTCGAAGGCTTCCTCCATCTCCGGTCTCGGTGCTATTTTCTGTTGACAGCAAAAACCCGTTGTATTTTTATTTTCGATTCACTGTCCAACGACGTGCACACTGGATTTTAGTCAAAATCATTCTTCCCGCCCCGTTGCCCATCATACAACTTACCCCCCCCCCCCCCCCCCTCTTTTGTGATTTCCCACACATTCCAGAAACCCTAGAACAGTGTCATTTGCCTTCCTCTTCTCTCTTCCATAATAAGACAAATTAGCAAACTCACCTACTTGAAATTGTGCTCAAACTTTATTTATCAAGTAACTTAAACACCAGGTGGGCAATTCAAGCTCAAATAAACTCAATTACACCATTAATTTAACATCCTAAAAGTAGCAAATGGACATAATAAGTTGGGCCCTTATCTGGTAAAACTTTTCTATTCAAATACTATGTGATATTACCCATAGACCCGCTTAATAGGATAACAAACACCTTACCCACGATGTCTCTCGGTGTGATTATATTTTAAGAACCAAACTATCATACTTTTTAAGATTTAGAGAGGTTTTTATTAATTGGATTATTGATTGTCCTACTTCAAGTGTATAATTTCCTACCCATGATTACTATTTTTTCACGAAAATTGTCTTTTGTTTCCCAATTCTTCATTTATGACCAAGCAGATAGAAGATTTCAACTCCTTATCAAATGCTTTGTTTCATGCTTTCACTTTTCAAAACAGCAATACAAATCTTCAATTTCAATCCATATGAGATATATTTGATTAAAATTATGTATCAACATCATTATTATTGGCCTCACAATCATGCATGCTGGTAAATAATAAGGTATGTTCTGTCATTGTAATAAAGCTCTGTGTATCATATATCAATTGTGATGTAACAATAAAATGCCACAAGCAAAAGTCATCCACTTTTGTATTAACAAACTTAAATGACAATGAACTAGAATTCAATGTAGTGATGTATTCAAAGTTAAGTCATATGAAAAGCAAGTGACTCATTCTTGATTATATGCTAGTATCACTCTTAAATAACGTAAATGTTATCGTAGAACTTATGCATATCCCAATCATAGCTCCTCAATCCATTTCACTAAATTGATTCTCCAAAAATAATGCTTCTACTTTACAATGTTTGCATCTTGTCCAAGCAAACTTTCTGAGGTCTAACTCGCCTTCATTATTGTTCTGGTTAGACCGTACCTAGGAAAATCCTAAACAAGTCTAATGCACTATGTATCTCGACTACCAAAAAGCTTAGTTGAAGCACAATTTTGCAACTATTACTCTCCTTAACTAATATGTTTCATAGTTGTGCCACCCTTTTAAGATCTATTTAATATTGGATTATTTTTGTAGTAACAACTCCTAGCGCCAGTAAGCATAACCAACAAATCTACCAAATCTATTGCTATGATCTCAAGCTTAAGAATCTACCCCCAATATAAATAGAAATCATATGCACTTCAATCCTCATCATTCTCGGTGACTCATCTCAAAGCACATGCTAATAACAACCCTTGCTTGTAAATTCCAACTTATTTGTGGAGGGAAAAGTGAAGTTTTAAATGCATAATCAATTTCAATTGGCATTTAAAGGGTCTTAAGTGAATTATCTTGTGAATGTATTACAAGAGCACTATATAGTTCTACAACAACATTTTGTAGAGTCATGCTACTATAATTGTGTATTGTTTTAATTTGGTCTTTTTTTTACTTTCTTTTAGATGTCTCACAACTATTTTTTGGTACAAAATGACATGTGATGTCGCTTAATAATAATTTTCTTCTATTTCACAGATGTCATATATGCAATAAGTATGATCCTTAGGTCGATTTGGGTCAGACTAATCACCCTTTCTTCCTCTATGTTTCCATTATAATTCTTTTCTTATCTCGTATATCTTTTGTTTATGTCTAGCAATAAAGTAAGTTGGAGGTGTACTAAATGCATAAAAAAGCAATAACAGCTTGTTCATGGACACAAATTTCATACTTGGATTGAAAAATAGATGAATTTAATATCAAGTGCAGTGTTCTTCTGTTGAATGAATTGAAACACTTCTAATCAATAGATGGAGCTTTATAAATTATTGAAAAAAGATCATCTTTCAAGAATATTTGCTAACCTTTGCTTCTACAATCAAAAGATATGTGTAGCATAAATCACAATAGGAGAATTGCATGTAATTTTCATCATATTGTTCTTCTTAAAAAACTATTCAACTTTTTGCCTTAGAATTTATTGAAATTATAGCACTTCTTCATATTTTAACTCATATTTTGCCATCATATTTACATTATATCCAATCAAATTTTAATTGCCTCTAAATGTAGAATGCTATAGGTTTGCCCACATGGAAACTCTAAACTAGCAAGCCAACGGCTCTAACATTATCTTTATGTACAACTAACACGGCAAATTCCAAAACCAACATTGTTTGTGATCTCAGTAAATTGTCCATGAATAAACCTTTACCTAAACCTAACTAAGTGGATAGCCAAATCTCAGATCATGGAGAAACCAAATACATTAAGGGATTGAGCAAAATGCAAATGGAGACTAAAACAACGATGACAATAATCTTTTGACAAATTGAAACTGTTGGAAAACAATCAAAACTAAATAAAGAGGAAAAATAGGACTGCTCGTGACGAAAATAAGAAGAATATTGAATCGGGAGAAATATGTGTTGAATTTACTTTCAGATTAAGTAGATTATTTTCATGATAAAAATCCCAGGTTGTATTACTTGCAAACAAGTTTGCTTGCAAAGATTTCCAAGCATATGGGTGTGCGCTAATTTGTTGTATAATGACAATGCCATGGGTCAAAAATGGCTCCTTGGCCAAACATTACCAGAAGAACTATTGCTGTTAATAGAAGGAATAAAATGGCGCACATTCTATAGTTTTCCTAGTAAAATTTTGAGCTCATCTCAAAGGGTCATTCCTTGTTCACCTCTCCCACAAACCTAGAGGCTACCTCAAGATGAAAAACAGGTGGTACGGTTAGACCTACACTTCATTGTCCTTGGCATCCGATTAAACCAATATCAAAGAGCAAATTTCAGTAACAGTGCCTCTAGGCACATGTCCTGCTTAATTCTACCTAAGATATAAAAAACAATTAAATAGAAAAAGCAGAAAATTAAAAAGGATAAAAAAATGTACCAAGCTAAAAATTCATCAGTCAATTTTTCAATTAATTCCTGATTCATCAATAGGTATAAAAGCATAAATCCCAATTCATATCGCACCATCGCTACATTATCTCAAATGTAAAAAGTAAAAACAGAATAGCGACATAAACTCTTCTCATTTCAAAAATGACCGACTAATACACAATTAAGCATCAAACCAAGACATCAAAAATGCATAAGAATAAATCTGTCAACTAAATAAGCTAGTCAAACTCATCATAATCACTTCATGAAAGAATAAATAAAAACATAAATAAGATAAGTTACATTGACAGAAACAAACCTTCCCCTCTGGATTTCCCTACTCATAGCCTCAATCTCAGCCCTCACAGCGGATGCTTGCCCTAGTTCCTCCCTCGCACGTGAAACATCCACTTCAAGCCCCTGCAGCCGCTCCAATAGTTCATTTCTCGTAGCTCCAAGCTTCTGCACTTCAGTCCTTGCCCGCATTAACTCCGACCGCATCTCCTCAACCTCACGAGCCTCCGCGTCAGCCTTTAACGATCGGTCGAGCACTTCACGCACATCCGCGTCCCGCTCCATCCGTACCTTAGCAGCTGCAGCGGAGGCAACGCGGAGCTCGTCATGGGATGCGTCGAGCTCCTGCTTTAGAGCGACGTGTGTGGCGGCGAGGTGCTGGTTGTCGGCAAGAAGGACGTGAATCTCGCGGAGCTGATCCTCGAGGCGTTCCTCGAGGGCGATGATGGATGGGAAAGCGGCGGGAGGCGGTGGGAGTCGGCGGAGAAGTGCAGGTTCGTCGAGGATGTGCACAACCTGGGGATGGGGGCCTAAGGGCAGACGCTGAACATCGCGAAGTTGGAGGATGTGGTTGGGTATGAAGCGGCCCCTTCCTGCCATGGGTTGCAAGGGAGGGAGATCGATCAATGAGATTGTGGATTGGAGAACTTTAGGGTTTTGGTGATCGGGGAAGGCGGAGAAAGCAAATGACCGAAGCCTGCGGCCGTCGATTAGAACGCGGGTTTGGCGAGTTTGCTCGCGAGAATTCTACCGTAAATTATATATTTATTTTGGGATAATTACTCCTGAGCACAGGTATATAAATCAAGAATCCATAAACTATTAAATTGTTGTTTCTTGTTAAACATTTCCTTTATACCGTGTGCGGCCCTACTGGATCTTTCAAAATTATGAATGTGGTATTTCGTATATGGGTATGGCTTCAGATGCCCTCTCTATTAAGGATATCCAGCATCGACCAAATAATATTTATCTGTCGTAATACACTAGTTAGTAAGAAATTAAAAAAAACGATGGTGGTTGATATATTTTGAAACTTGGAGGTGGGTGCAGGAAGCCGTGTTGTTGGTCATGTGTCACAAATGATAAAATATGGCTATTGTGTGCAATTTCTTCCCAACCAGCCATCATAAAATTGAAGCACATGTTGAAGCGACAGACGGTCATCGCGTTTTTGTAGAAGCTCCACACCTCTCAATGTATGCAACCTTGTCAGTGTTGGGTACTCGTGCATCCACGTGTGTTCCGTCAAGTGTTCCAATGCAGTTCTATCGGATTTTATACAATTGTGTATGTCATGGAACATTTTCGATGTTTGGATATTGTTAACCTCACTTTTTGTTGAGGTTTAGTTTTTCCTCTTTAGTAGCTTAGGGTCTAGCTTTAGAACTTTTCTGTGGATTATTTCTAGAAAACTAGAAAAGGAACCCTCACCATTAGAAATTATACCCTCTTCCTTACTTAACTTGATAACTTGAAGCTCTATATATTGGTTTGGTCCTAACCTCTAGCACTTAGTAGGTGGGGTCATTATAGGGAAGCTCAAGGAGAGTTCCCATAGGACTATTTGACTTTAGGGTTAACCCTGGGTGCTGGTCTGGGGCTAAGGCACTCACTTTCACTCACTTTCACTCACTACACTCACTCTCACTCACAATTCCTCACAGCCCTAAACCCAGTATTTGTTGACTTTGATCCCTTGATTCTTTAGGAGGCTCATGTAGATGGTCCTCTAAACCCACTAGCCCTAGGCTAGGGTTTAGCTAAGACTAACACATAGAGGACCCAATGACCTAAATGAGGATTCCATTGGTCCATGGCTCATATAGAGTAGTTGGCACCCCAATTCTACAAAAAAATATCCAACTTTGTCTTTTGCCCTAAAATCCCCCAAATTACTTAGATACCCTTGGCACCCCAAACTTTCCCAAAACCTCCAAAATCACTCCAAATGTCTCCAAAACCAATATAGACCCTTCAATAGAACCCAATTTGGCCAATTTGATCATTTTGACCAAAACCCCCAAATTGCCTTTAAATACCCAATTTCCCTAAATTCACCTTAAATGTCCATCAATTTGGCCCAAATTTCCCCCAATTTGAATCCTAAACTCTTCATAACTATCCTACACACCAAACTTGACCTTCAATTGGCCTTGGTGAAGCCTCAATTGCATTCAATTTTAACCCAAGTCAAAAAATTCCTAAATTTGCCCCAAATTGGCCATACATCCAAATTCTACCAAATTGATTGCCCTAACCCCAAAATTGACACCCAATTTATGTTAAAAACTCTTCATGATGTTCCTATAGACCATTCTTAACAATAAATTTGGACTTAGCCCAAACTTAGCCCAACATAGACCCAAGTTTAGCCCAACATGTCCAAATTGACCAAAATTCCAAAATCCTTCAAATGGAACCCCCAATTGGACTCAAAATCATTTAAATCCTTCGCCAAAAATCTTCATTACAATCATATACACAATGTTGATTAATCAATTGGGCTCAAAGTCATGGCTAGCCTAACCCAAACCCAATTTTTGGCCATTTAGACCCACATTGAACTCATGCACCAAAATTGACCTAGCCATGTCAAATTAACCAAGACAAGACTTCTACAACCAATTTTTGGACCCTAGTGACCAAGCTTGACTCACTTAACCCACTCTAGATGAGCCACGAACAAAGGTCCCCTAAATCAAGGGATTTGTTTCCTAAATGGCTTAAGCCAAAGAGATCTTTGCCAAAACCCATCATCAGCCCAAATTAGCCCAAATTAATGGTTGTGAATTAATGGTTGTGACAGATTCCTCTAGCTCACCTGACCTCCTAGCCACCTCCCCTGGCCCTGCCGACCAACCTAGTCGCCAGATCACATCAAAACTGAGGGCCACCATCCCTAAATCAAACCTAATCTCAACCTTAGGGGCCAGCTCACCTTGATTAAGCTTTAGAACCTCTTAGCCCACCACCTCAGCAGACTTTTGCCACCTCAGCAGACTTTTGCACC